CCAGATGATTTCTTGATGCTTTCTAAAAATTAAAGTTTCTGGATATGAGAGTGCTTTTTTCCCAGCATACTGCTGCTTTGGGCTGAGTGTTTTATTATTTGGAGGAATTGCAAAAGGTCAGAAAGAGCTCTCAGGCAGCTGAATGCTATTGAGGCAGCTTCCGGGATTGTTTTATGGCAAAGTGCCAGCAGACCTGCCTGCCTGCATTTGTCAGAGAAGAAACCCTATTCATTTTTATTCTTGATCATAAAATAGTCTGCTTCAGCATTGCCTTTGGTAGGTGCCGCATTCTCAGAAACATGTTGAAGAAAATGGTGAGGCATTAGAACAGAAACTGGAGCAACTGGTGTCAGTGCACTTCAAGTTCTCATGAACATTGCTTACTTACGTAGCATTTCCCTATGGAGCAGATAGCTAGGTCACACTACAGATCAGGCTTGCTTTGCCAGCTATGTTAGTGTTTTGTTGCCTCCCTGTGGGCTTCAGGAGATCTGAAGAATTTACATAGTGGGTTTTGAAGACAGTTTTTGGAAGTAGTGCTAGTTTGAGCTCATTGTTCTGAGTACTGCAGTATGCATCTTCGACTTGTATTGTGGGACTGCTTATGCACTAAACTTCTTGGATTAATGTTTTGAGGGGCAGTAAGTATCATTAGCACCTACAATTGAGTGATCTTGATTTAACTTAAGCAAATTCAGTTGTGATTTCCCTGCCTCCCATATGCTGTTGTGTCTTTTGTATGTAGAAGCTGATTTGTGATCTCTCCTCCCATATGAACATTGGGGATTGGGGAACCTGCAGTTCACAAATTTCAGTGGTTAGATTATTCTAAATCTTCTAGGAAGACAGAAGTCTAGATTGTGATGTAAGCCCTGAAGCGTGAGATTTTATATCCATTGTGACACCTACTAGTACTGTTATATCTGCATATTATCATCATAAATATAAAGGTATTTTCTGTCATTGTCCTTTAGACGCTTCCCTGAGAGCGTAAGAGGAGGACTACCATAGTCTATTTTTGCACTGCATGAGGAGGATTTCTTTTGTGTCCTTTTGGAATTTCCTGATTTTATAAATATCTAATCCTTGTGTTATGCAACAGGTAGAACAAAATACCTTCTCTTCCACTTCTTGATATCTCTTCAGAGCTCACAGCCTAGAATGTAGTCTACTTTTTTTTTTAATTAGAAACTTTCCTTAGCATTCTATTTTCCAAGTTTGTTTTCCTTGAATGGCCAGGGTACTGCACCTATAGTATTGTGAATCATTACAATCATTATAAACCAATATTTTTCTCATAAGATTATTAAAAACCACAACGATTATAATACTACTGATAATCAGAAATGTGCACCTCCTTCCCACAATAATATGGTATACTTCACAGGACACTGTCTTTAAAAAAATTTAAAAAACCAAAAAAAAAACCCAAAAAAAAAAACCACACCACACTTTTGTTTAGCATCTACCTGATTGGTTCATTAGGGGGCACTGCACAGCTATAGAAGATTTCCAGAGAAACTTGGATGTATTTCCAGTGATGCCGTTTCACTTTCCATAACCTCCTCTTCCAAACTGTCTGGGGGCAGTGTAAGATGAAAGTTATTCCTGTAATTTAAGCTCAGTTCTGACTAAGACTGTTTTTGATAGCAGTTTGTGGTAATTATACAATGCTAGAATATAAACTTTCAAATTCCTTTTCTATGTGCAGAGAAGTGTCTGTCTGATTTGCCATTTGTGTTGGTCTTATGCTTAAGATGCTGCATACTTCTGCACACTACTTTCTGAATGCTAAACCTGGAGCGTAATTAGTCTCACTGGACTTTGATTTAGTTTGTATATACAGTTGGAAATATGGGTTACTTCCAGTGGATCCTGATGGGGAAATGTTAGTCTTAACAAAACTGTATACAAACGTGTTTTGCTTTTGGACATGGACTTTTCTGTGATGAATACCAAAATTTTTGCAACTGGAGAGAAATTGCTGTAAAAAACATTTTATAAACTCAACACAGGAGCAGAACACTTTGTAGTAATGAATGTTAACCTGTACCAGTATGTTTCTGAAGAGGATGTACAGGGAGCCATTTTTTTTCCAGCTATTTGAGTTGATAAGGTGCTACATTGAGAAAATTCCTGATTACTTTATAGGGGTTTATTTTTCTGTTTGTTTGGTTTAATGCTCCCCTTATACACGTTAGCCTACGTTTGCGTGGGTTTCTTCTGAGGTTTTTCCAAATTTCAAAAACTTTTTTCTTTTGGGGTATGGGCCATTTTTGTTCTGCCTTATGCTAGGTACCATGCATCTGTGTTAGTTTGACTGGAGCATTTATGTTACATAGACAGTATTAAAAATAAGGAAATAATTTCATAAGCTTTATTGCATGTTGAACCTAATTTTCATTTATTTTTGTACTGTGTTTTACATGCCTTTTGCTCCTTACCCTGTCTCCTGTGGTACACTTACAAGCAAATGGTGGAATATTGTAGGATCTAATAAGGCTTGTTTTCAAGGAGACTAGGCTAAAAGAATCTTGTCCATTGTTGAAGGGTGGCTACCCAGAGATGATAGGAAATCCAGCCAAACTCTTTTGATGGAAGTTGGCAAAGAGGCAGCATGCAAGGAAAAGAGGCTCCTTTGAACTCTTGTGCAGGAAAGATGCAAAATCTTGGAGGTAGTTACATGTTTTTCTTAGCTTGCTTTCAGGACTTCTGCCACTGGTGCTGCACTTGCCTCATTTGTCTGAAGTCCTCTCTAAACCTGGATGATGTGCACAACTGAAGCAAAGGGAAGACGATACCTCTGTGTTAAATCTAGAGAGCAGAGGAATATGACAAGGGTACTCTGTTCCTTCTTGGAGTGATGTATTCTCCCTGAGACCTTTTGGGAAATAATGCTTGTTGTGGTGCATTGGCAGCCCTATTTCAGTGGTTGTCACATAAGTCAGCAGTCATCCCAATGCCGCTTAGGTCAACAGTATGACAGATTATGCCAAATGAACCAGAGCTGCTTCAAATAAACCTTGTGGTCATCCTTATGGCTGAAAACACAAATAAAGTAGTCTTTGGCATTGACAGCTATTGCACTGAATGATTAACCCTGGTCACGGAAAAAATTAATGCTATTCTATGACCCATTCAAATGTCAAACAGGAATATGTTGTATTCAGTTGGATTTTGGAGGACAATACTTACATTTCACACTGGAAGCAAAGAGTGTGATCGTACTGTTTCCAAGAGTGTCTGTTATTCTGGTCCATAGCAGCCTGTTGCTTCACTTTTTACCACCTCTGTCAAAACAAACCTTTAAATTGTGTGGAGCCAGTTCTTGGGTGCGTAATAGTCTGAAACACTTGTCTCTTAATAATCCTGTAAATAATTGTTATCTCAGTTTTATGTCTAAGCCACAGCTGTAGTCAACCATTTTTTCACTGACTGATGTGAAACATTTTAATGCTTAAATGAAGATTTAAGACAAAAATCTTAAACATCTTAGGATAAAAACATGGCAGATTTGTTTCATAAAACTTATCTGTCACAGTGATAGGCACAAAATACTAGTATTAACCCTTCTTGTCCAGTTTTAGTTTATAACTTTATTTTTTTTTTTTTTTTTGTTCTTTAACAAAAGTTGAGTTAGTATATGAAGGCATTGCATATGTAGCTGTGTACTCAGATAGGGACTTTTGTACCCTGGTTTTACAAGCTGGCCATGGTTAGATGCCCCTGTGTTTTCTGACAAACAGCCAAGCAACCCCTCCATGGAGGAAGGATGTTTACTTCTCCCCACCATCCCTCTGGTTATTGTTTTTCCCTGTTGTGTTTTTGCATGGAAAAAAAAAAAATCAGTTGTGGGTCCTGGTGGGTAATAAGCTGAACACAAGCCAGCAGAACACCCTTAACAGCAAGAAGGGCCTGTATTGCTGTATTAGCAAGACTGTAGCCATCAGGTCAAGGGAAGTGGCAGTGCCTACCTGTTCAGTACTGGCAAGGTTGCATTGGGAGAACTGTGTCCAGCTTGGGCTTCCTGTTGACATTGGTGTACTGAAACAAGCCCACTGGAAGGGCTTGTGAAGATGACATGAGAATGGAGCATGTGATGAAGGAGAAGCTGGGGGAGTGGGCTTATTCATTCTGGAGAAAAGGAGGCTAAGGAGGAGGGTAAACCTTACTGCAGTCTTTGTGTGATGGGGTGGGTAAGACAGAGAAATACTTCTCACAGCTGCATAGTGCTTCCACATACTCTGCTATGAAAAGTCAATAAGGGAAATCCTGATAACCTATTAGGAAAAAAAAATTTCACTGTGAGGGATTTCAGACATTGGAACAGATTGTCCAGAAAGGTTGTGGCCTCTCCATCCTGAGAGCAATTCAAAACTCAGTATGGCCCTAGGCAACCTGATCTATGTTGGCTCTGCAGTTGAGCTGGAGGTTGGATAAGAGAATCTCCAAGGTCCCTCCCAACCTGAATTATTGATTAGACTGTTGTTAGTGAGGTGAGAGCCCATGTAATCTTCTGTTTATAAATGTGATGAAGGAGTTTTGCTTAGCTTTCAGTCCAGCTTGCCTGTTCCAGGAGTGTTTATACATGTTAGAAAGATAGACATCCCACAGATTTGGTCTTGTGCTGTAGAATGGTATGTATGGTGATCTCCTTTCTCACTTGTTCCTCTTAAGGTTTAATGCCTCTGATGGGTTCTTTTTTTTGGAGATGTAAGGTAAATCAAACTAGTTTTGAGCTAAATAATGTGTGCCTCAGTGTGTCTCTATCTGGGGGACTGGTGACTGCTGATCTCATTTTACTGAGATTAAGCTCTTAGCAGACAGATGTCTCTCGCCTGTGTCAGTAATGCACCTGGTTATTTCATTAACTTTAGTAACAAGCAGGAGTGTGCAAAATCAGCAGATGGTTGAATTTCTTCGTCCTAGGTCAAACTTCTGGATTTGCACATACCGAAATGCTTGTAACACTTTTTGTATTTGACTTTCAATGTTCACAGCAATTGGAAGAAAAAAGCGAGGATGAAGAGGATAAAGAGTGCTTAAAGCAAGCAATAACTGCCCTCCTAAATCTTCAAAGCAGCATGGAACGGATATGCTCCAAAAGTCTTGCAAAACGAAGGCTTAGGTAAACATGTTTCCATTTTTCCTGCTTTCTGCTCTCAATGCTTTGCTATAAATCCAGGGCTCCGTTTCCTCTTTTAGTAAACAATGGACAAAATAGTTTGTGACAAGCCTGCTTTTTCAGAGGAAGTGACATCAAAGCCAAGATAACTTGTTATTGTTTTAAAACTGTTCTAGTTTCTATGTGTCCTTGCATACTGGTAGTTGAGACGTTCTGAGAACTCACTGGTAAGTAGAAAGCTATGGCATTTGTGGCTTAATTATGCTCAGATAATAAATATCCACCTAAAAATACTGTAAAAATATATTTCTGTGTGATTAGAAGGGAATGTTCTTGAATTTGAAACTACTTTATCTGAAGAGTTTTTTCTGCAATGGCTAGTTAAAATTACCACTGGATAATAGAAATACATGCATAGATAACTAGTACTTAGTTGCACTGTTTGTAGCAAGTTCTTGGAGTATACTATCTGCTATGTGATTTAATGCTAATATTTGTGCAGTTATTTAAACATGTTAAAACTTTCTCTTTTCCTCTTAAAATTGTTTCAATATTTTCTTTGTCGACCAACTTCTGTGCTGCAAAGTGTAATCTTTAGGCTTGGACACGAATGCATTTAACAGCTTTTTCCCCTGAAGGTGCTTCTTTCAAATTAATGCAGTCTAAAATTGTTTGTCGGCTATGGGAATGAGTGGTTTGTTAGGCTAAGAAGCACCAATGGCTTGCCTACTTCTGGTTGCCTGTGTTTAGGTAAAACATTTTTTTGCATAGAAAATAAGTAGAAAATTTGTCAGATGAGGTACTTAAAAGAAACATTAGTAAAGGCTTGCAATGGTGCTGATATTGAGTGCTGAAATTGCATTCTCAGTGGAATTCTCACCACTCAGATGATCTTGGGTTTTTGCTGTTAGTGGTGGTTGTGATTTTTAAATACACGTATACTAATAGGCTGCCTTTCTCCCATCCTTCACTGAAGTGAATCTGCATGCCGATTCTATACTCAGCAGATGAAGGGGAAACAGCTAGCAATTAAGAAAATGAATGAAATCCAGAAAAATATTGATGGTTGGGAGGGTAAGGACATTGGACAATGCTGTAACGAGTTCATCATGGAAGGAACACTCACGCGTGTAGGAGCAAAGCATGAGAGACACATATTTCTATTTGATGGCTTGATGATTTGCTGTAAGTCAAATCACGGCCAGCCAAGACTTCCTGGTGCTAGCAATGCAGAATATCGTCTAAAAGAAAAGTTCTTCATGCGAAAGGTACAAATCAATGATAAAGACGACACTAATGAGTACAGACATGCTTTTGAAATCATCTTAAAAGATGAGAACAGTGTTATTTTTGCTGCTAAATCAGCTGAAGAGAAAAACAACTGGATGGCAGCATTGATATCTTTGCAATATAGAAGCACGCTGGAAAGGATGTTGGATGTAACAATGTTGCAGGAGGAAAAAGAGGAGCAGATGAGATTTCCAAATCCTGAGCTTTATAGATTTGCAGAACCTGACTCTGAAGAGAATATTGTGTTTGAAGAAAACATGCAGCCCAAATCTGGAATCCCCATCATCAAGGCAGGAACTGTTGTCAAGCTCATCGAGAGGCTGACTTACCACATGTATGCAGGTGAGGCACTTCATTTATATAGCCAAAACTCAAGGTGGTGACTAGTTTATGCTTTTCTTTCTGTGTTAAATACATGCAGCAAAATACATAAAGTGTGTAGAAAGCGAATATGCTTTGCAGTGCATATGCTCCAACATGCTTTTTGAGTTAAGATTTTGAGATCTACATATGCACCTCTGTGGCTGTAGCAGTTAAAATATGAATCCTGTTTGGCTGAACGTGGTGGGTTATGCATGTGCATAAGGTTATTCTCATGCAAGGGATGGGGGGATGGAGACCTGCAGGAATTGAGTGCTAGACAATACTTTTTCCTGTATGCCCCAGGCTACAAGAATTGCCTTCCCTTGAGACTTCTAAAGCTGGGTGGCACATGAAGCTGCCAGCATTGTGGGAGAGAATTATGGGCCCGGTGTTTTCAGTTAAGGGTTGTACTCTTATCAACTATTACCTCTGTCCATGCTGGTGTGTAATGAAAAGACCAAATACCAGCTTGCTAGAATAATTTGGCCTCAGAACTTTGCCTTAATCAGAATTTCAATGGGGATTTGATTTAATGACTTTTGACTTCAGGTTTCTGTTTGTGTTGAAGATACATCGAAGGCATTTATATGATCATCCAGTCCAACCTCACTGTGTGGAGTTTTTCTTGATAATTTTCCAGGATTTTCATAAGCTGTGCTGAAAAGCATGGGCTTGGGTTTTGGGGTTGGATTTTGGGGGGTTTTTTTGTTCTACCTGTATGTCAGTTACTCTAAAATTTCATGCATCTTGATACTAGTGCTTCTCATATTCAACTGTAGAGTCTTTTTTTTTTTTCTCCTTTATTTCTTTTTACTCTTCATGCTCTGATTATCCTAAATTGTTCTTCTGCAGCTCAGTCCTAGATACCCTGCATAGACCAGGAATATTTGTTTGGAAGAAGTGGGGAGTAAGCAGAATTAGTGTAGTTTAGTACATTTATTTATTTTTAAAATGCTTGTAAATACATCTGTTTACTCCGTTACTTTTATTGCTCTTCTCCACATTTCCTTCAGTTGAGCTTTCCAAACATTTATTAGAAACCCAAATGCAATATCGTGCTGGCAGTTTTTACCAGAGCAGTTTTGTGCCTGTCTTCGTTCTCTGTACCTTTATAAACTTTTAGCTCTTGGCTTCGAATTTTACAGGCATGATTTATGACTTAATTTTATGGTTTTGGAAGTTAAAATAAAACAATTCAGCCTTAGAGAAAGTAAGAAACTTTTTTTTTTTTAAAGCTAGCATTGTATTTGGCAGAGAGTTGGCAAAAATAGTATCTCATTAGTGCCCTTGTGAACATTTGCTTTGCTTTGGCTAACTTGTGCACCACTGAGAATTGCACGTTCCATACACGCTGGGACTTTGGTGCCATAGCCTTGGCATTGCTCCAGGTGCTAGCAGTGCTCTCCATGCGTCATCTCTGTCCAGGGAGCCACAAACTACATTCTCCAGTTCCATAAAACAGAAACGCGTGTTTTTAAGGAACACGTGGCTTGTTGAAATTTGTTGAGATATGTCTCTTGTATTGGTTTTTTTTGCATCTGCATGTCTCTTTGGCCTTTCTAGCACATAGCACATCAAGGAAGAATTCAGATTGATTAGATGCACCTTCGTCTGCAGTCATTTAAAACCCTGCTTGTAACAGTCCCTATTTAATAAAGCTGTAAGTAGGTTGCTTGAAGCCTAACATTGTAGGTATGTGTGGTGTTGACCAAACTATTGTATGACAAAACATACAAAACTATGACTAGGACATAGGTACTGTGAGATAGGCTGAATTTGACCAAAAGAATAAAAATGGTTGTCTTGTGATGTATTTAGCCTGTCTTTGTAGCCTTAAAGATCTTAATGCAACAACATACGTGGACCTGATGCTGAGTTGCTAGGTTGCACGTCATTTCTCAACACCCTTATCTTTCATTCTGTACCTTCTGTTTTATAATTGGTTTTGTATGAGGAAAAATGTCATTGTTCTAACCATTCTGTGCTGTCTTTTCCAGGGGAACAAAGAAATAGAGAAATAGTGACTCAACCAAAAATGCTCTGTTGTACAGGAAACAAGGTCCATTTACTATGTAAATCATTCAGTGTTTTGTTGCATTTTATGAGATGCAGTGAGCAGGGCAACAACTTTCCATAGTAACCCTTTAGCTCTTCTTTTGTACACATATCAGCTGAGTTCAAGGCTTCTGTTTTGTGTGGAGGCATGGGAAGACAAGTACTCTGGTGATATTTAGCCAAACAGCTACACACTGTAGAAATGCTTTTCTTGCTCCACGTAGGATTGTATATGCGCAATTGTAATCTTAAAATAGTTTATTGACTTTATAGTCATATGCCGGAACAGCAAGCCCTTACTTTTCTGAGGCAGCTTTTATCAAATACAGTGTGACTGGTAATGGCAGCCCTTGATCTGACAGTCTAAAGACAGTATTTACTGTAGCTGTGACTCTTCTCTAGGTTTTTATCTTTGTAGGTCAAATGCCATAAAGAATAATTACAGATATAATTGCAGAGGTGGTCCCAATTTGTTGCAGGTAGCTGAAGAGCAGTTTAGTTAGTTGCATATTGAATATATGGGCTGTCTTCAGACAATAATCAAATCAGGTCTCCATTTTTTTGTTGCCTGTGAAGATCTGCACAGTCCATTTCATTTGTAGACATGGGTATTAGACCTTTTATTTTTCTTCCCTCGCCTCCCTGACAGTGCACAAACCAACTTCTGAGCTGAAATATTTTTCTGTTTTGCTGTGGAACAGGGACAGCCCAGTAGCATAGCTCTAACAAAGCAGTTCTGCTGGGGGTAGGAGGCATCCAGCCACTGTGAGAGCTGGGACAGGGAGACAGCCCTGACGGCCACCTGGCCGCAAGGTGCAGCAGACTGTCCAAACCATCCTGCAGTGGAGCAGTAAAACAGGGAGAAATCTCCTCTGCAAAAGCAGCTTTCCATATATTTTTACATGAGAGAAACTGCCCTTTGATTAGAAAATCAGGTTCTGACCCTATTTGCATATTCTGGTGAGTTTTACGAGTTTTAATGTGTTTCTGTGTTCATTGTCTCCTCCTTTGCCTGATTCTTTTTTAAAAGCAGCTGGGTTAGGTGGTACCAAGATTTGAAAGTTGTGGCAATTTTTTTTTATCTATAGGGCAGTGCTCTTCTATTTTTAAAGCTTTGATATGTTAAGAGTGCTTGTGCGTCATCATAGTGTCCGTTTCCTTTCTTAAGGAATTCAAGGGTGATTATTTATAAATCCTTGTAGAACAAGTTATTGTTCTTTTTTAGCTTTCAAATTGGCTGTATTGAAGAGAGAATTATCACATGAGCAGACATCCTGACTAACTAGTGTTGTCTGTATTTTTTTAACGCCTGCTCATATATTGTACACTATTTTGGGTTACAGATTTTGCTAGTAAGATAACAAGGTTAGATTTGATTTTCTGATCTACTTTATTTTAAATTCAATATGTATTGTGGATTTAAACACTGACCCTACCTGTAAATAACAATAGCTATGACTCGGAGCTTGCAGCGATCTGAGATGTTAATTGCTATGGAGGCTTTGTTTTTCATGTAGGCAAAATCTGTTTAGGGTGGATGCTGTGTACAGAATGCAAGCTGTGAAAACATAAGCTACTGTGCTTACTTCTATACTTGTTTTTTAGGATGATGTAAATTGTGTATTTTCATAACGAGGAAGATGGGGACAGGGATGACATTCTTTGCGAAAGGATTTGGAGTTTTGCTTTTGAAAAGGGTTGTAGACTGTACCATTTCAAGGAGAGGTGGGAGATGCGTTATGATGAGAAAAATGGAGTCATGAAGGACATAGAGATGGAAAAGCAGAGTAGCCAATTGTTTAAGATATGGGAATTAGCATACAACAGAAATGCGAGGAAACGCTGTGTTACACAATACATGGTTAATCTGTGCGACACATTACAGTGGACTGTTGCCAAAATGAAGAACTTAGTAGGATCTAAAAAAGGTAGAATGTTCATTCAAATGGACAAGATGTTGGTAAATAGTTAAGGAGAATTTTAAAAAAGCTCTTAAAAATCCATATTCCAGGAAAGAAGTCTAATGGCTTAATATAGTGTTAGGTCAAATAATGCAGGCGGGTTTTTTTCTTCATTACAGCCTATAGGAGGAACTACTGCTTCAAGTCATGTGCACTTATGTTCAGCCACTCTGTGTTAGAAAAATTGCCAATTCGGGTTTGTTTTTAAAATCAGTACATGGATTTAATATGGACAGCCATTGCAACCCGCTCATTAATTTTGTTCAGTGATAACAATGTTAACCTTGTTTCTAGTCAGCTCTGTGCAGTGCCAGTATGCTGTCACTGCATTTAAGGCAGATGCTTTGGTTTTCTGTTTTGAATACTTGCTTGTTTTTAAAATGCATTTGAATATTTTAAATGAACTGATATGTAATTAGTCAATTTAAATGAAATCTCTTAATTTTCTTGAAGTGAAATAAATATAACCTCTCAGTATCGCTGTCAGGTAGCTGAAAAAATATGTAGCCTGCCTTAACCACAACTGGTTATCAGTTGTACCAGTTTAGGGAAAACATTCTCCCCTTGAAGAGGCCGTTTCTATCCAATGTGAAGTTATTTGCTTTGTCTTTTGAGTTATCTTGTCCTTGTCCTGGTCATTGTCAAAACCAAAGCTGTTTACTAGATGGCTCGTAAATAAAATAATCTATTTATTATTTTCAAAGTTGTTGAAAAGGAATCCAGTCTCTTAATAAGTGAAGGTGTCGTGGTTTAGCCCCAGCCAGCAACTAAGCCCCACGCAGCCACTCGCTCACTCCCCCTACCCCAATGGGATGGGGGAGAGAATCAGAGGAGTAAGAGTGAGAAACACTCCTGGGTTGAGATAAGAACAGTTTAATAATTGAAATAAAGTAAAATAGTAATGCTAATAGTAACAGTATAATAATGGTAATAATAATAATGATATACAAAGCAAGTGATGCACAATGCAATTGCTCACCACCCGCTGACCGCTACCCAGACGGTTCCCAAGCAGCGATCGCAGCTCCCTGGCCAACCCCCCCCCCAGTTTATATACTGAGCATGACGTCATATGGTATGGAATAGCCCTTTAGTCAGTTTGGATCAACTATTTTGGCTGTGCCCCCTCCCAGTTTCTTGTGCGCCTGGCAGAGCATGGGAAGCTGAAAAGTTCTTGACTAGCATAAGCAGTACTCAGCAACAACTAAAAACATCAGTGTGTTATCAACATTCTTCTCCTACTAAATCCAAAACACAGCACTATGCCTGCTACTAGGAAGAAAATTAACTCTATCCCAGCCGAAACCAGGACAGAAGGGAAAGAAAAAGTCAGTTTTGAATTTTCAACAGATTAAAAATTGTTTTTAAACTCTGCTTTGTATTGCTATTTTAAGAGGTTCTGAATTGTTACCAAACCAAGTTTGGTTTACATCATCTTCTCTGTAAGTTGATAGGTCGGCATCCTTAATTTTAAAGGATACTTAAAGTTATTTTAAAGTATAAAAAAAAAAATTAGGTAATTGCTGACATGAGCATAAAATTATTCTTTGTCTTAGATCCCAACTTTGTCCGGACTTTTCTCACAACTTACAGATCCTTCTGTAAACCTCAAGAGTTGCTGAGTCTGCTAATAGAAAGGTATGCTACTGTTAAAAATATTGTTCATACGAAGTGCAAATTTTTTTTTTAATTTTTACTTGGAATAGAGTTTGTAAGATTCTTGTTTTCCAGTTGGTTTTGATTCACTCTAAACACTTCTAAAAAAGTTGTCAGATTCAGGTATTGCAAGGACTGTGAGTAAAATGTGCAAGTTATATGCAGAAGCTTTAGCATTGTTCAAGTAGCTCCAGTGACTTCCAGCATCCCAGAGTTTTGTCTTTGAAATCTGTGTTGTTATTGAATTTAGCAAATCTTCCTATGTGCTTAGCAAGACGTAAGATTCTGACGTGTGGAAACATTCTGAATTTCAAGCTATCTTTAATCAATGTTTATTTGTGCATGCTGTGAGCAAGATTAGTGCAATAGGAGCCTAGTGCTTATACCCATCTTCTGTGCTAGATTTGAAATTCCAGAGCCTGAGCCAACAGAAGCTGATCGTATTGCTATGGAGAATGGAGACCAGCCTCTTAGTGCAGAGTTAAAAAGATTTAGGAAAGAGTACATTCAACCTGTACAGTTACGGTGAGTATTGCATCAATGTTAGCCAAACTGACCTCCTTTAAGTTTTTTTGAAGTACCATCTTTTGGATGCAGTGGCTCTTTGTGATACCAGCAGCCTTTCTTGTAGATGCTTTCATAGAGGGTGTGTTGTGGGAAGTCAGCCATTTTGACCTCGCTACTTGAAAACCTGGTAGGAATTTCAATTTGTGGCACAAAAAGCCCTGGGAAAGGCTTGTGCTTAGTTTTAGACTATTAGTGTGCAAATTAGTTTCTTACACTCACCATTTTCTTAATTCATGTTTCTGCAAGGCTATACAGCATAAGTGTGCCACAAAGACGTAGGCAGAGAACATTTAGATAATGTTCTTTTTATGAACATTACTCTGATTTCTTTGAATTTGAAGTAGAAAAATGCCTGTTGCTGGTGGAATGAAGACAGTAGAATAATTGCATTTGGTCTGCTGATTCTGAGATTCCTGTGAGCCCTCGCCTGCTAAAAGCCTTGAAATGCTAGACATGAAGATAGACTGTATGGTAGAGCGCTTACTTATCCTTTACTTTTGCAGAGTATTAAATGTATGTCGACACTGGGTAGAACACCACTTCTATGACTTTGAAAGAGATGCTGATCTTCTGCAACGTTTGGAGGAATTCATTGGAACAGTAAGAGGTACTTATGATTTCTTAAGTGCTGGCATTTATCATAAAGCACCCCTTTTCAAAGGTATGGAATGGGATCATTTTTCCTTTCACTGAGCAGATAAAGAAAAACAGGAATGACTGCTTATTAAATACTTCACAAAGAACATAAAATAAACCTTAATTTTAAAAAAACCCACTATTATTCAAAGTCTGACCCCTGTTCAGAAGAAAGAATGCTATTTACATCCTGATAAATAAGTATTGGGTTTGTTATAAAGGCACTGAAATAATGCAGAATGATAAGAACTGAGTAATGATCAAGACAGAATAATTGCTTTGATTGTCCTCTTAAACTATACACAGGAGTAATTTTTGTAAAAGTTGATGGTGGAAACCAGTATTTCTCTGAAGCAAGGGTTTTCCAGCTATTTCACAGTGCATATTAGACCTGTAGGACACCTGCCAGTCGTGATTGTACAGAGCTTTCCTGTTAACTTGTAAGAAAAACTGAGCCAGCTACAGGAGCCGTTTGGGGGAAAATACTATGTTAGAGAAGTATTCAGTGGTTATTTAGCAATTAAAAACAGGGAGAGAATGAGCCAGCCAGTTTAATGTGGATTACTGGTAAATCTTCAGTGGACTTGTGGACATCATTTACCTGGACTTTAGCAAAGCCTTTGAC